TATTGCCAAGAAAGGGTGGGAGGATGGAGGTTGGTAGCATCACATGATGCAGAAGGACCATGGGGTAAATAGGAAAATATGCTTTTACTATGTTTTAGCAACAGGGACTCTTTCCCCTTTGATTTTGTTTTCTTTCTTAGCTCCAGCCACTATCACTTAACCTCACTCTGGGCATGAGGGGACAACAAAAAGCTTTGCTCTATGAACTAAATGTTCAAAGTATCAAGCAGAACAAATATACTGAAAGATAGACCTCTGGAGCATAGAGAATAGAGCAAGAGGTCATGGAACTAGTCCCAAGATGATGGAAAAAGGAGAGGTTCTAATAGTTGCATGGAAAGTACTAGAATCATGGCCAGATAGAGATCAGTTTCCAAGATGTTACGGCCAAGCATTTTTCTCATTTTGCTCAAATGAAGACTAATGGGGAGTCTCAGTTCCCAAGTTGTCAGAAAGTTAGGGAGCTATTCCAAGGGACAAAAGGCTTACCTGGGGGAATAGATAGAAAAGTGCATTTACGGGGCATGAGGGTGTGTGTGTGTGTGTGTGTGTGTGAGTGTGTGTGTGTGTGTGTGTGTGTGTGTGTGAGAGAGAGAGAGAGAGAGAAAGAATATAAGAATACATAGTGGCTCTGCTAAAGTTAGGTTATAATGCAACCTAAAGAACTTTCTCCAGCTGTATTAAAGAACTATTTTCAGCCAAAAGACTTGCTCTTTTTGGAGGCTCTCACAAGAAAACAACAACAGAAGCTTTCAAAGTGAATGGAGAACTGAACCAAGAGCCATGCATAATAGAAATGCTCGCTTTCTCTCTTGGTTTTCCTTATTTCTGTTGATGTTTCCAATCTCCTTTACTATTGGCACGTCTCTGACAAGCATGTCCAAATGATAATTTAGTTAACTTGAGTTCCAAAGACCAATTTATTAGGCTAGGGATATTCAAAAGGACCTCACATGAGTAGATGAAGGTGCTAGCCTTCCCAACAGCCCCTGATAGTAGGTGTGATTCGTTCTAGTGGTAGACATGACCTATATCTTTGAAAAATGTAGTATAACTCAGTCATGTGAACAGATGCTGACATTCTTTAACACATGTCTCAGTCTCTATTTAATTTCCAAATATCAAAGACACTTGTATTTACTATACATACAATATCTCCTGGTGGTCCTCTGGGTCCCATAGGTCCTGCGGGTCCTTGCTGACCCTAAAACAGAAGGTGATATGTACTTTAGTTTTATTTAAAAAAAAATGTACCTGACTATATATAAAACACAGTATGACCTTTTTTTCTGTAGAAAGATTGACTTTCCACCATCTTACCTTCTCTGTATAATACTGAAATGTGCTTTGGGCTTACAAAGATACTTTCAAGATGTTCTCATTTAAAAAGGTTTGTTCTCACCAAAAGGCCTGGGTAACATGCCTTACCTGTTGGTGGGAGCACAATACATTAATTTCTCCGCACCTCCCAACAGCTGGTTTTTCTTGGGACACTCCTGGAATT